AGCACCCTATGTCAGTGCCCTTTGTTCCATTCCCCATTGGCACCGTAGGATTTAACTTCTGAGCTTACGGGAGTCCACTGCCAAAACTGGAACAGATTTCCATCCTCCCAGCAGGCAATAATGTGCCGGGAAATCGTTCACAGAAATCCTGTCAATTTTTGCTGTGTTCTTTTGGTGTCTTACCAGCCACCTAAAGAGAGCTTATAGATGTACCTCTGGCCATGATCTTTCTTCTGAACAGCCTAGATTTTCTTCTCATCAGTGAAACCTAGTATAGCAGCGGCAAGAGTTAATGTACCCATGAATCTAAATACCCTCCTGCCTTCCCAGAATAAGGGCCACATGCCTAAGGACTCTCCTAACCCAGTGCCTACCTGAGTTTTGGTCGGGAGATATGGTTTGGGTGGGCTCCTTTCTGACTGTCATATGGCCACCCCAGATTTGCTGCTATACTTCACATATCTACTCTTCTGTAGAGGTATTACATTTCACAGCAGTGAGAGCATCAATCAGTTTCCCTTCACAGCAGCGATTGATTGATTGATTGATTGATTGATTGAGTTTGAGACGGAGTTTTCACTCTTGTCGCCCAGGCTGGAGTGCGATGGTGTGATCTTGGCTCACTGCAACCTCTGCCTCCCAGGTTCAAGTGATTCTCCTGTCTCAACCTCTTTAGTAGATGGGATTGCAGGCATGTACCACCACGCCTGGCTAATTTTCTTTTGTATTTTTAGTAGAGACAGGGTTTTGCCATCTTGGCCAGGCCAGGCTGGTCTCGAATTCCTGACCTCAGGTGATCCACCTGCCTCCGGCCTCCCAAACTGCTGGAATTACAGGCGTGAGCCACCACACTCAGTCCTCAGCATGGATTTATAGTGCCCCAGGCTTCACCTACCCTAAAAGGGGTCATTGAAATTACACCTGCCAGTAATTCCTGAATGATAATACTGCAGCAGATTGGGGGTTAGCATTCACACCAAACCTTACTTTTCACACTACAGCATCCAAAAACATGTTATTAGCTCCTCAGTCAATTAAACTAAAGATCCAGGAAAGCATGAATTCCCTAGAGAACTGCTACCACTTCTTAGCAAAGTGACCCAGTTTCTTTATGCTTTGTCCAATTTGGTAGCTACTAGCCACATGTGGTTATTAAGCACTAGAAATTTAGAGTCTGAATTGAGACATACTGTGAATGTAAAACACATGCCAGGTTTCAAGGACTTCGTATGAAATAGAGAATGAAAACTATCTCGTTTTTTACTTCAATAAATGTTGAAAAGATATTGTGAACATACTGAGTTAATTTTTTTTTCAAACTGAAATTATTTTGACCTGTTTCCTTTAACTTGTTAAATGTAGCTAATGTAAACATTAAAATCACACACATGGCTTTTATTTGTGGCTCACATTATGTTTTTATGGAACAGGGCTGCACTATAGTCACTAGTTTGCAGTGTCACTTGCCTGGAGTTGCAGAAGGGAATATTAAAATTAAGTGCAGTGTCCTTCCAAGTACCAACTGGACTTTTGTTTTCATCTTGAGCTCAAGTCATGAAGCTGCTTGCTTTACTGGCTGTGTCTTTCCCTTAAGTAGTTTGTTTCATGAGGATGATATTTTTTTTCTTTTCTTTTCTTTTTTCTTTGAGACGGGATCTCTCACTCTGTAACCCAGATTGGAGTGCAGTGGCACAATCTTGGCTTACTGCAGCCTCTGCTTCCCGGTTGAAGCAATCCTCCCACCTCAGCCTCCAGTTAGCTGATCCCACAAGCACCCACCACCACACCTGGCTCATTTTTCGTAATTTTGATAGAGATGGGTTTTCACCATGTTGGCCAGGCTGGTCCCCAACTCCTGAGCTCAAGCAATCCACCTGCCTCAGCCTCCCAAATTTCTGGGATTACAGGCATGAGCCTCCACCCCCAGCCCCCAAAATTATTAATAGGAAACAAGGAATTAACTGTCTCTTGAGCCACTTTCCCCTCAGTTTTATCTCACCGATCATCCGTCTACCAATTCAACAGGGGATAAACCTGTGCCATCCAGATTCCAATAGTAAAATTCAGCATGTTATTTTCTGAAGCACTTTGACTACCTCAAAACCAAGTTGGATCAGCATTAGATTCTCCTCAGAACTCCCTCCTGGAACATTTGGTCATATTGAGTCTCAAAGTTTGAAAGCCTGGTCAGCTTTTGTCCACCACTGCTGAGATTTGGGGTTCCAATAGTCATACAGACTCTCAGAACACCCACAGGCTTTAATCTAACCTCATGTTCACTCAGTCTCCTAGGAGGACGTGAGGCAGGAAACCCATCAGGCCTCCAGCATCTGCCTCGCACAGCAGACTCAGCAAGTTCTCAAGAGCACAGCTTCTTTTGCCCCTCATCACACAGGACACATAGGTACAGCTGCCATGGACAAAAGTCAGGGTGTATACGATCACCTTCACACAGAGAATCACAGCCTTTGTTCCAAACCACACTTGTACACCACCTAGTCACTTGGGCCAAAGATCTTCAGGCCAATGCACAGCTCCCCCAATGCAGGTGCAGCCCCTCACAGTAAATAAGGCCGACTCCAATTCCCTCTGTAGCTTACCTCTATTGTTTTCAAGGAAATGATGCTTTAGAAATTAGGGGTCATTCTCAGCACTCCTGTAACAGCCCAGGCTGGATGTTAACTCTTTACTCACACTCAGGTATATGGAAAGATACAATTGAGAAAAATTCAATTGCTGACTAATATGTTAATTTTAAATAGATTATCTCTGTTTTGAGATGAGCCGCTAAGGTCTCTAAAGATTTTAAAATAAGTTATTCATAACAGATAATTAGAAAGGTAATCAATGAATTCTGCTTTACTAAGCACATCAGCTATAATCCTGATATCTGAGCATTTTGATAATGAATTTCTCAACTGCTTCAGTTAACATGTCAACACCTCATTGGAAATGCTCCCTGAGAAGTTATCTTTTGTCTTACTTTGAGATAGATTTTTTTAATACATAGGTTGCTATAGTTTAAAAACCTATTTTATACTTCAACATTCAGCTGATTTATACACAAAATAGTGCAAATTACCTGGGTAGCCTACATTTTCCTTTAGAAATGCACACACCAGCATGATTTTCTAAGTTACAAGGATACTGTTTTAGCACTTATGTAAGAATGATTTAATTCCAATTTGTAAGATATGGAAAACTTTAAGGCAAATTATAAATTTGCCTTAAAATTTTCATGGATGCCAAAGAAATGGTAGTCTAAATGAACATGCTTATTAAAGAATACTGGAAAATTGATTTTCAATTTTTGCAAGCTTACAACAGTAGTCTCAGGTAGTTTGGACTGTCCGTTTTTCTTTCAAACTTGTGTCCTCAAAATTCAATTGCTTATATATTTTAGAGTCAAAATATTTTCCAATAATCACATACTTTTGTTTTTCAGGTGGAATCATGTTACTTTCATAATTCCCCAAATAACTATTTTATACCTTACTGTATCAACTTTGGTCATCTTCTCATTTTAGAATCCATAATAACTTCTATTTTTTCACTTTCATACTTTATAATATATTATTCATTGAGGAGCTACTTTCATAGAACCAACATAATTTTCTTTTTCTTTTTTTCTTTTTCTTTTTTTTTCTTTTTTGCAGACAGAGTCTCACTCTGTCGCCCAGGCTGGAGGCCAGTGGCGCGATCTCGGCACACTACAACCTCCACCTCCAGGGATCAAGCGATTCTCCTGCCTCAGCCTCCCGAGTGGCTGGGACTACAGGCGCGTGCCCCCACACTCAGCTAATTTTTGTATTTTTAGTAGAGACGGTGTTTCAGTATGTTGTCCAGGATGGTCTCGATCTCCTGACCTCGTGATCCACCTGCCTCAGCCTCCCAAAGTGCTGGGGTTGCAGGCACGAGCCACTGTGACCGGCCCATAATTTTCAAGAGTTCAAGCCAATTATTTTACCTTTTATATTATTATGAAAAAGTATTATCATAGGAGAGCCATAACAACGTTATTAAATGTCTTCTCATCTTTTAGACCTTCAATTTAGTAATCAAATAAACCCTTACTCATTGGTAGACAGCTACCATTATATTCTAAATAAATGTATTAAAGTAAATTATTAATTTGCATTATGTTATTAAATATTATATTTCATAAGCATACTTCATTTATTATATATTATTAAATAATTTTTATTTAAATTTTTCTTTAAGTCCTTTCATTTACAAACATGGAAAATTATCTTCAGTTTGCCACATTTAAAAGAGATGATACTTTTTAGAAGAACATAGTAATAATAAATTTATGTAAAGTTTATGTTCTTAACATGAAATAAACTTCTGCCAGATATAATTCACAATTTCAACCAAACTAATGTGCCTGAAAGGTAGTCGTATATAAACTAGAATACATGACTATCTTCTAAGTATTCCACAAAGGTTAGTGTAAAACAGAAAAGTAGCATACAGGGAGAATAACATAAACCAAGCAGTATTATGGAACTAGACTGTATTTTCTGAGGAATTGACTTTGAATTGAAAGAAAAAGCTTGAAAAGGTTTGTCTCCGTGAGAAAGAAAAATTCAGTCAATGATCCTGGTATGCTCCCCTTCAACATCACACATTTAGCCATTTAAACAAATAATGCAAAAAAAAAAAAAACTAGTTTATGAATATATATAACACATAGATTTTATCTTGTTTTAATTTAGATATTCAAGCAATATGCAGAAAATACCAGAGTTTAGTTTTCCCATTAAAACATAGCCTTTGGGATTTCACATTTATTAATGGGCACATCAACACAATGTGGCAGGATAAATAAATAAAACTTCAATGGGGAATCAAAACCAATTCATCTTTATATGCTTCAGTTACCTTTTCCTTATATTAATGTAAACATTAATTGTGATAAAATTGATTATGATTCTGAGACGCCTGTTATACATGCTCTATTCTATTATTAAAGGGACTTGTCACATTTTCTTCGACAGGATGATGAGGTAAGGGAAAGCCGATTCAGCTTCACAGCCTATGGAATGGGACCATGTCTACAAGCAAAGGACGGCATGACTCCAAAGGGCCCCAACCACCCTGTCCAGGTAATGCCAAAAAGCCCTGATGAAATGAGGAAGGTCTTTATCGACCGGGCCAAGAAGATTGACACCATCTCCAGAGCCTGCTTCCCATTAGCTTTTTTGATTTTTAATATTTTCTATTGGGTTATCTATAAAATTCTTAGGCATGAAGATATTCATCAGCAGCAAGATTAAGTCTCTGGGGGCATGCAAGTGCAAATGGTCACTTCACAAGAAAGTGTCTCTGCCATAGGTGTGTATGTGTATATGTGTGTGTGGTGTATAAATGATGACCATTGTATTAAAATGGTATATGGAAAAGGTTCGTAATTTGGTTAGCTATGCAAAGTCATGAGAGATAAGATTCTTTTAATGAATATAAAATATTTATTAGGGGATTCCATTTCATATTAATTCCCGGTGATTTGTTTTTTTCACAGTAAACCATCTAAGTGGAAGCTTTACTGCCAATGTGTTTATATGTTATATAATATCTCATAATAACAGACACGAAAACTACTTTGGAATTCCTTAATTTGTAATTCAATGCTATTAAATCATACAAAAGCAAATTTTGCACAGTAAATTTTATGAAAGGAAAAGGGGGAAATTATAAAGATAATAAAAACCAATAATTTGAGATTTAAAACTATTTTCTTATAGCATAGTTATGAAATGGGAAAATAATTAGTTACAGTGGGAAATTCATTCATATTAATGGAGGATTGTACATATAAATACTATTTAACCAATATATGTAATTTTGAAAATTTTTAAATAAGAGCATTAAAAGACTTTAATGGTTTGGAATACTAAATTTAATTGTTTAGAATAATAAATTTTCCTCTGTGCAAATTTAAAATAAATAACATAAGAGATCGTGTTACAGTCACAATCTACTTTTCTTAAACTTTATATCTCTAGGAACAAAGGTGGAAATATGGAAAACAACTTTGTTTTCAAATAAGTATTATAGCTATGTATTTTTAGTTATTGCCAAACATTGAACAATTCAAGCCACCACCTTGTTTTTGTTAGACTTTTAATAGCTGCTTAACTGTGTGTGATTGTGTTTAATAATTTGATATAACTGAACAAAATTCAGTAAGACTTTTATATTTTAGTTTAGAATGTGACTTTAAAATTCAATGGGATTAAAGTATTTACATTTTGCTAAAAATGAGTACAATGAAAACAAAAATGGATTCATGAAAGATTTTTTAATAAAAACAATTTTCCCAGCAATGTTTTATGGGTCTCAACTCTTATCTCCAAATATAAGGAGGGAAAGTTTTAATTTTAAATGATATAAGTAAGTCATTTCTATAAAGTGGGGACTGTTTTTCTATTTCTGAATTAATGATTTCAAAATCTAAGCCATTCGCAAGATGAAAATAATTTTAAATGAAATTTTTACATAAAATTTTTCAATGACCCCCATGGGAGTACTTCAACAACAACAGAGCATTAGTAACTTGTTTTTTGCAGTGTAATTGGGTGCAAATGTATGATAGAGTTCTTGGTAAACAGAACCAGACTCTGACTCTTTTTCAGTTTTGCTATTTTTTTTTAACTATTTTTACCATAAATGTATTTGGGAAAGCTTTGGAATGCCTTTTAGGTATTTTAATTATTGGTCAGATGCACAAACTCAGTCTGCCAAATTATTCACAGAGAAAACTTTAAACACTAAGAAAACAATGAACTCAGATGTACAATAGAAAAGCCAGTTATTTAACGAGATGCTGTTTTCTGCCCTTCAACCACTCTCAAATTAAAAGCAAAAACTACCATTTAAAACTAAAACCTTTGCAATGTTATTATACATCAGCTTATACAATTGTAATTTTTAAAAATAGCATTTTAAAAAATATTAAATGTTAAGCAGTTTTTACTAGTAAAATACCAAGTTCCTCTCCTTTATAAGTGACTTAAAACAACACTATAAGGAAATAATATTATGTTTGGCATTATGTGCAAATGCCACAACTAAAAGAATTTGTTACTCTCTATGTACCCACGTTGAGGGTTGTGCACGTGAAAATTAAACGCATGCTTCTTCATTTGGTGTGTATTTAACAAAACCATGGAAACATATTCTTGTGCTAAAGATAGAGCAAAATATGTCATTTGTATTCCTTGAGAATTAGCAGGAGAGTTCAAGGTAATTATAAGCTACGTCATCTCGATGTGTCTCTGAAATACCTGAATATGTTTTTCTATACTTTCCACATCTTATTTCAAGTTTCCCAACATTGCTTAAGTGAATTCTGCCAGGAGCAAACAGAAATATAATGAATGCAAACATGCTTACTTCCAAAAGAAATTCACAGACATCACTTGTTTCCATATTTGAGAATATTAAAAATGTGTCTTTTTTAAATCTGAAATTTAGAAAGTGAAAATACCAAACATGAGACAATGCTGTCGACAAGGACGTTGGTGCATTAGAAGTCTATCTCAAAAGTATTGTACTTTCCTTAGGCATAGTTTTCCTTTCCTATTATGTTTGTCACTGTCTTACTGCACTAAGAAAATACTTTAACAGCTTTCACTCACAAGGCAACAGTGACAACGCACATGTGGCTGAATCCAATATGTTTAAAGGAATGTGTCTCCTCCTATGAACTCTTATTGACCTTTTAAAACTGAAAAATTACATCGCAATTAGCATCCTGAGATAATATTTGCCTCAGTAAGCCCTGCGTCCAACCAGAATATTTCAAATTAAACCAATAAAAAAATTATCAATGACAAGAAATTAAAAACGTGTGCATATACATTAACTACTCTACACACAAATTGGAATTCCAGTGTGCATATTCTGAAGTATTTTTAAATAGCCACATTAGAAAATACGGGATTTTTGTGTATGCAGTTTATATCGTTTTCTTAAAGAGCATTATTTGTATCTCAATCATTGAAATATCTGGTTCCATAGCATATGAATTTATAGGCTATTTTATACATTAGCATATATGTTCTCAACTTTTTCTTTCTTTCCCAACCATTAGAATTAGACTTAAACCATGAGGCTCTGGAACTTACTTTACAACTTTAAATAGATTCAAGAATCACTGTATTTGCAAGAAAGCTGAGGGTGTTTAAAACTTCTCTAACCCTTCCAAAAGTTTCTCCATGGCACTTGCCTGGAAAGCCCATCCAACTCTTGGTGGTTATATTAGGGAATCAACCGGGCTATTCATCTTATTCTAGAATGAATTCTTATTCTGTTGATATATTCCAATAACTTGTATCTTAATTTGCAATTATAAGTGCTTGTATATTTGTGTATCCCTAAGACATGAATTCATATATTAGTTTATGAATACCCAGGATCTCATGGAAGGTAAGGGAAATTTTAGAAAAAAAATGAAGAAATGATCTAAATGTTTAACAGAAGAGAGCAAGCTGTTCACTATTTTAGTACTCAGTGCAACTTAAGTGGTTATAATATTTGAAAAAAGATTTAGATGTATCTTCCATACTATACATCCCTTTTTCTGAACTTTTAATTCCACTTTTTAAAATATGCTTTTCTATTTCTCTCAACACAACATACTTCAACCTGCTGGTTACTTGGGAGGACTGAATATTATACTGGCAGCTAAATTTTTCTTTCATCTATAAAGTGCACATTCCAGGAAACGGACATGAGAGAATACAAGCGACTTGCCAAAATTGACATAGAAAATACTTGCAGTATACTGTCAATGGAAAACAAAGAAACTGACAACACCACGATTCACAAGAGTCCCATAAAAATTTACAACACTCTAATAACAAAATTCTGAGAACAAAAATGTATCCAATGATCCTTAGACAGATAGCATTAACAGTCTTTGAGGTCATGATATCTTCTACTCCAAAAGTGATTCCACACTCTTTGCAACATAGATAATAGCATAAACTCCCAAAATTCATCAGTATATATGACCTGTATTTTTCATCTAGTTAATATTGAACTAGCAAAGAAAAGCAAACCATTCCAAATATAAGACAATCTGGTGTTAATACAATATATTAGAAGACATAGTGTATATGTTCACAAGGATTCCCTCCTGCGAATAAAACACCCATAATACCCATTGTATCTTGTTCCTGAATTAAGAGACATCTTCCTCAGCAGATACATTGGTTTTTATTTTCTTATTTGTGTACTACAGTGGTAAACATAGCCATTGCAATTTTTTCATTGCTATATAAACTTTGCATGAATAAATAAGCAGTGTACACTGTAAATTGCATTAATTTAATTAACTTTAAAATTAAACTTTTATCTCAGTCCCCCCTCCTCTTTATAAACATACTGATATTAAAAAGTGAACTTCCATAGGGAGACACCTGGTACTCCAATTACTTAAAAAGTAAAGTGATGCATATTCTTCCATAACAAAGATACTTACAGGCCATGTATAAAATATAACTCCCTACAATTTAAACGGAACTAGGACAGGGAAAAATATCCTGGGGAAGCTTCTTTGAGATATAAGGCCAAGAGATATAATCCAAAGTTAGTAGCTAGGACCCACTTACCTGTTTTTTTTGGTCTACATTTTACATCTTAATAATGCCTTCATCTCTTCTCTTTCCCTCTCTCTCTCTCTCTCTCTCTCTCTCTCTCTCTCTCACACACACACACACACACACACACACACATTGGTAATGAGATGAATTCTTTCAGATTAAAAATACAAAGACAGAAAATTTTCCTAGACAAAGGTTCATGATCCTGTGACATGTTTTGCAATATTAAGTCATTGCTGGTGGAAAATATGAACCATGCAGTCATTCAATTTGGCCAGCTCTTGATCATGCAACAATCTTTTGCCTCAAAAACACATAAACAAAGCTAACTGGATCAAGTCTTTAACCCTTAACAATCGAATTCTAAAACACTATTTGAACCATTTTTGAAGAACAGCTAAATAATTGTCAGAAAGCTTTTTCAAAAGACAGCTAATAATATAGGATGACTTTGTAGTGTCTGAACAGGTGGTTTTCTCAGTACTTTTGATGGTTAACATGTAAACAAAAGAGGAGAAATTTAAGGTGATAGAGTATTATTTTTCAAAAGTGATTCTGAACCCTGGCTATGTATTGGAATTTCTTACACATTTTAAAAATACATACATATGCTTGGTATCCAATATAGAAGATTATGATTTAATCACTGATTAAACAAATATTCATTGAGTACCTTATGTGTGCCTGGCACTGTCCCAAGTGCTAAATTTATTATCTTTGGAATAAGATATGAAATTGTGGATGATTGAAAAAATTCCAAAACCGAGAGAATTGATGTGAGCTTACACAAGCTTGTTCTCTTAATAAGGATCAATTTAACACTTTTTAAGTTTTATAATTTTTTCTTTCTTCATGCAACTAATTTTAGTTGTCTCTCCTTTATATTCTTAGAATTAAAAATAGACCCGGCCCGGTGGCTCATGCCTGTAATCCCAGCACTTTGGGAGGCCGAGGCGGTCAAATCACTTGAGGTCAAGAGTTAAGACACCAGTCTGGCCAACACGATAAAACCCCGTCTCTACTAAAAATACAAAAATTAGCCAGG